TACACCTAGACACCGAAAACTACGGAGCGCACTGTCTGGACGTCGTCATCGGCGACCTGGGATACGTGGACATCGAGTTGAAGGTATTAATACACCTAGACACCGAAAACTACGGAGCGCACTGTCTGGACGTCGTCATCGGCGACCTGGGATACGTGGACATCGAGATCAAGGTATTAATACACCTAGACACCGAAAACTACGGAGCGCACTGTCTGGACGTCGTCAACGGCGACCTGGGATACGTGGACATCGAGTTCAAGGTATTAATACACCTAGATATATCAATCACGAGACATCACGAGACACGTTATCACGAGACACGTTATTATTAAATAAATCGGCACAATAAGATTAGGTTCACTCTATTTACCGGCGCTCGTATAAGTCGGTAACGTTAGTCACGTCAGCCGAGCTTGCGAGCGCCACGTGCGGCAGAAATATGTAATGGAATTCTGGTGGTTGACGACGACGACGACGACGTGGACCTTTGACTATATAATCATGGACTGCTAGTTGCCTCCACTTTGCCTGGTCTAACACGTAATCAACATCACGAGTGCCGCCATAGGATAAATGGCGGAAAATCTAAACACTAAGTCAGATTTAATGGTAAAACAGGACAGAAGACAGAGATAGAATATAGCTGTTTTATCATGTTTATCAGAGTTCAGAACCAATTATAATATAATTGGTTCTGAACTCTGATAAACATGATAAAACAGCACGACATAAGCTATATTCTATCTCTGTCTTCTGTCCTGTTTTACCATTAAATCTGACTTAGTGTTTCGATTTTCTGCCATTTATCCTATGGTGGCGCTCGTGATGTTGATCACAGCCTGAATGCGGCAACTAGCAGTCCATGATTATATAGTCAAAGACGTGGACGATGTTTCTTAAACGCGAATTCGTAACTGCGAACTCTGCATTGCAAGCAATATCTCCACACACGGGGCACGTAGGAGAAAAGTAAAAACACTTTTATTATACAAATCGTACCCAAGCTATCGATTAAGCGCAGTCTCAAGTTCGTCGGATCAGCCGTTGTTGAGATCCGAAAATCTGAGGGCCCGTCAACTCGTGTACTCGCGTAAACTTACACGGTTGGTGTCGCGCGCGTGGTTAGGCTTGTCGCTTATACTTAGGCCCGGTTGCACCAACGTTATTTCGGCCTTAAGTGAGACTTAAAATTTTAAGTTTGTTGCACCAAAGTGTAAGCGACACTTAATATGGCTTAACTTACACTTATTTTAAGCGATGGTTTCAGTACCGCTTAAGAGATTTTAAGGAACATAAATCGCATTTTATTGGTCGGATTGGTCCTGTGTCACTATCGCGTATTTTACGTGGTCTACAATAGTACGTGAAGTAAGCCGGGAGTAGGGTTCGCGCATTAATTATTGAAGTAGAAAAAATGGATTTAGATTTTGATGTATTGGAAGATGATGAATTAGACGCATTCGATTTAATTGTTTATGGAATACCACGAAATGTTCGTGTACGTGCTAATTATTTTGAAAAATATGACGAATTAAATTTTTTCAGAAGGTTTCGGTTAGAGAAACAGTCTGTTATAAATATATTAGAACAAATTGAAGATCATATAAAGTATATACACATAACAGGTAAATGTTATACTCTTATTAGTTCGAGATGAATAGGTTAGAATTGTTTTTCACGTTCCACGCATTACAAGGTAAAATGTGTAACAGTTTTACAGTCTGTTAACAACAATATGTATTTATGTATTATAATATGTTACTATAATTATAATAAAAAGTAATTTTGCAATCTTTTAGAAATAATTTGGTTACACCAATGCAACAGTTGCTTATTACTTTACGTTTCTACGCAACTAATGGATTTTTTATCACAATGGGTGACTATGGTGGAATGGACAAATCTACAGTTTCAAGAATAGTTGTTAGAGTATCTGAAGCTATAGCTTCCTTGGCACATATTTACATAAAATTACCACAAACACAAGAAGATATTTTACAAGCTCAAAGAGATTTTTTTAAAATTGCTGCATTTCCTAAAGTAATTGGTGCCATTGATTGCACACATGTAAGAATACAATCTCCAGGTATGTTTAGGTATTCAATATATTTTATCAAAATAGAATTTGTTTCTTGAAATATTTTTAAATATTGATTATAACGAACACACACACACACACACACACACACACACACATATAAATATATATATATAATATAATGTAAATAGGTGGTGATGATGCAGAAATATTTAGAAATAGAAAATCATTTTTTTCCTTAAACGTACAAGTTGTGGCAAATGCAAACAGAGAAATAATTGACATTGTAGCTCGATGGCCAGGCTCAGTTCATGACTCAACAATATTTCAGAACAGTAATTTAAGAATGTTATTTGAAACAAATCATTTTCACAACTGTTTATTATTAGGTATGTGGTTTTATTTAGAAAATAATATATTTTAATTAATATTATTATAATAGTTATAACTCTATTTAAGTTTAATTAACTATTTTCTGACACGTAGTAAAACTTTGTTTTAGGCGATAGCGCCTATCCTGCAAAACCTTATTTATTTACGCCATTATTAAATCCTGAAGGCCGTGCTCAACAATTGTATAACGAATCACATATTCGAACACGAACCATAGTCGAACACACATTCGGTATCTGGAAACGTAGATTTCCAATATTAGCATTTGGAAGTCGCTTAAAAATCAGCACAGTAATGACAATAATAATAGCGAGTGCTGTGTTACATAATATAGCACGACGTCGAGGGGAAGATATTCCTCCACCTGTTGATGATGAAAACCTGCATATTTTGGAAAATATCGCAAATAATAATGCAAATCCTCATTTTCAAAATGAAGCAGGTAATGCAGGTCTACTAGCGCGTAATATATTAATCAACGAATACTTTAATAATTTACGTCAATAAGATATAAAGTGTGTTTATTAAATATATAACTATTATTTTGTAAGTATTATTTTTGTACACAAATACATGACAAAATAACCCAGATAACAATGTACTTCCACGGAACTA